ATAATGACCAAGAAGTTGAAGGCGGTGAAGCTGTACCTTTTCCTTCTACTGCTCCCTCTGGTCCAAGCAATCAAGAGCTCATTGACTACATGTCTCAACGGTTTGCTTCTATGAACACCAACATCAACAATCAATGGAGTGCAATCAATGACTCCACTACAACCCGGATACGTGATTTTCGCTTGGATGTGAACCAACAATTCTCGTACCTTTATTCTCGCCTTCATATCCCACCATACGACCCAAATAACCCAGCTGCACCTCCTCCACGTTATACAGAACCTCCACTTCAACAACAATTCCCGAACCAAGGCTCATGGTCTTACAACCATCCAGACATGCATCACCCTTAATGTTCTGGCTGACTGTTTTTTTCTGTTATGTTATTTCAATGTTTCGTTTGTTCAGTTTTCTTTGTAACTCTTAAACAATTTCTGTTACTGTTTTAAATTCTATAATTTTGTCAATATATTGCTCTATTATTATTTTCTTTAGGCATCTTTCCCTTCTTTTTGATAATGTCAAAGGGGGAGAAAGATGTATGATACTTTATGCTTGTATTTCCTGTGTCTTATCTTTCAAGGTACTCTCTAATCAAGATGAAGAATTGCAAAGGATTCCAACCCTCTCCTACATAGGGGGAGATTTTCATGTTAGGGGGAGAAGCTCTTCCGGAAAGTAGATCGCATAAAGCAAGATTGTTTGTCATCATCAAAAAGGGGGAGAATGTAAAATCGAGCTTCACAAATAAGCTTTTGTTTTGATGAAGACAAACCATGACTAACAAAGAAGGCAAAGATTTATGATCAAGCATCTAAGCATCCAAGGATAATATCTTCATTAAAAGCTCTCAACATCTTTAAAGGTATAATAATATTATCTACTTTTATCTTAAGATATAGATGCTCAAAAATGAAAAAGAAATGTTTAAGAATCATTACTCAAGCTTTTCACAGATAAAATTTCATTTTTCTTCTGCATGCAATCGATTTACATCTTAGTGCAATCGATTGCACACTTCAAAATTTCAGATCTTTTACTTCTGTTTCTATGTGCAATCGATTTAGATTACCTATGCAATCGATTGCATACTTAAAATTTTCAAAACATTTGCTTTTGTTTCTCATGCAATCGATTTACCTTGCAAGTGCAATCGATTGCACTCAGTTACTTTTTGCTACTGACTTTGCATGCAATCGATTACATTGTTAGTGCAATAGATTACACTCTTAAATTTTTTGAAAAAATAGTTGTTAAAAACCTTGTGCAATCGATTTACACCAAGGGTGCAATCGATTGCATACTGCACGAATTTGAAAAATAACAGCTTTGTTCATGCCTTTTCATCATGCCTTTTCATTTCATCTTTTCACTCAAACTTGACATTTGTTCATGATATATTTCCAGATATTCATGTTGTTTCAAAAGGGTGTTATGAACATATAAATATTCATTTTCATATCCAGATCTAACACCTTCTTGCAAAAATATTTCCTGAAATTTAAAAATACAAACTCAAGCATTTTCCATTTTCATGCATAAGTTTTCTGCACATTTTCATACATTAACAAACAGAAAACTTTGAGCAAATATATCTTGAGTCTTTGTACAATATTATTATTGCAAGAAGAAGATTATACATTGTCAAATCACTCTAAGTGATCAATATTACTCTACTCACTCAAACTCACAAATTGATATTTACTTACTTATTTTCCAAGATTGTTGGAATTAAGTTTAAGTGTTTTTGTTGAAATCTTGTCTTTCCAAGTTGTTGGATACAAGTGTAGTTACATTGAGAGGATTGTTCTCATAGGTAACTTAGTGAAAATCCAAGAGGATTGTTCTTGGTCCAAGAGGATTGTTCTTGGTTTGGTTGGTAGTTCTTGTTTAAGTTTGCCACAATAAGGAAATCTCTTTCATGTTGAAAGGGGACAAGAGTACTCTCAGACTGTGAGGGGAATCAGGATATATCGCCCGTGTGTCTTTATTTTTCTACATTTTTAAGCTTTCATAAACTCTCTTATAACCAGAAAAATAAGAACCATCATCACTAAAAACTAGAATTTTTAAAGTACCTAATTCACCCCCCCCCCCCCCCCTCTCGCACTTCGTACTTACACCCTTGCTTTGCTTTAGGAAGATTCACTACTACGAAAAATATTTTTAATAACGGTTCGTTTAAGTATATAATCACACAGGTCCAGACGTTGTTATGTAGTGTGTTGTTGTATATGCGTTACTTTCAATCACGGTCCAATGACTATTGTATTAAACTAGAAAGCGCACACCCTATAACAACGGTTAAGAGTAATAATTATTGTGATATTGTTTATGAATAAATTTCAAACGTATCATACCAGAATCAACAATACAACATTTATAAACTGATATCAAAACAATTATTACATCAAAATATACATAAGAAGAAATATCAAAGAATGAAAAATAAAATTTGAAAAGACAATAATATGTAATCATTCAACAGTTCGAGGTAGATAAAATTCTTTCCAACTTTCAAGAGATGAGAAGTCGTATAGAATTAAAGGACCAATAATGAGAACACTGGCTTGACATGCATGAATCTTTTGAATTTTAAACTTTCAAGAGAATATGAAGAATCAGAAGAGACAATATAAAGGCGGAAGAACAAAAAATAACTTCATCCAAAAGAATCAAAATGAGTTATCTTGCTTAAGTTATAAACAATATTGAGAATCAAGATATTGTTGTTGTAGAGGGTTTTGTGGTGTAAAACCATCCTCAGAATCAAGATGAGGAAAAAATTTGGTCTTGTGCAATAGAAATGTACTTGAGAGCTCTCAGGGTGAGGAGAAGAAGAAGAAGAAGAAAAAGAAGGTTGAGAAGGCAGATTATTTTTTTTATGCTGCTGATGATGATGATGCTAACTATGATAGGTCAAACTTCCTCTAGCTCGAGGATTTAGATTTGATTAAGTTTATGTAATGAAAGTTTATCAACTCTAGGGGTTTCTCCATGGATTTGATTAAGGTTATTAGCTTAAATCTATAAACTAATATACTAATAAACAGATAACTAATTGAAAATTCAATAGTTTGGGATGAACTTACTCGTAAGAAACCGTCTGTTAGTTGCATTCATTGTCAAGTTTAATGCATCTGCAGTTTCAACATCAATAAGGGAACTGAAACCTTACTTCAACTATTATATTTTATAACAAAGTAAATATTCAACCTAAAGGAGACAAGAAAACATAACATCTTCAAATTTACAAAAAATCTCCCTGATTTCATTTTATTCTTCAAATTCTTATCTTCTTCTTTGAATCTCCGTACACAACCTTCAAAATGGACACCTCCAACTCTAACTTCATAATACTCTCATCTTCATTTCCATCTTTTTCTCTCATGTATTCATCCCATATGAATAAATTACATGTTTCATCACTCCTCGAAAATGGACATCTCCAAAAAGTCTTCCTTTATTTTGTCCTTTCTTGCATTGGTACAAAATCATACGACAATCACAATCACAGAAATTTGCAGATCGAGATTTTACAGAAGAAGAAGTAATAGAAACATCTTTGGATGAGTTTGTCTTTAAATGCGACATTGAAACAAAACTAAACAATATCGTAAAGGAGAATATTGTGTCGGTGTTGTTGTCTTTCTTCTCGACGATGACGACGACGTTGGTGTTAGAGTTATTTCGTCTTGTTTCTGTTTTCAGTGGAAAATGAATACTGAGAGTTTAATATATATATAAATTTATCATCACAGTCATTACTGTGAACCGTAATGATATAATTTTTACATAATGAAAATTCATAAGTAAGCGCCAGTGTGTAACAATATTTTTACAAAACAATCGTAGTGATATCTCTATTATTATTAATTTTAATATAAATAAAAATGAAAAGGCGCAAACTAACGTAAAAGGAATAAACTATTTGAGGGCGACGGGGTTCGAACCCATGAAACCTTGGCAGTATCACTATAATATTCTCATAAACCGTTATTATATCCTTATAATTTTTAATTAAAAAATAAAAACAAAATGTTAGCGCATAAGCTTCTAAGTTTCACCACAGTATTTAGAAGAACCGTGATGACTTTGATGTTGTTGTATGCACGTTTTATAGTAATGATTAGATAATTTGTGTTGTTTGTAATAGGTTGGAATATTCTTTATACTACATTTTCTTAAATAATTACCTATTAAAAAAGATTATTCCAACAGATAAATATGAAACTCAATGTTAGAGAGAGGAGTTTCATATCTTTTTAAATCTTGACAAAGGTGATACATGAATATTAAAAAAGATGATTAGGGTTAACTTTTTTTTTTTTTGTATTTTGATTCCCTGAAAAATAGAACCTAGTAATTTAGAGTTTGTACCAACAAGTTATAACACTGATCAAACATTATCCTTACCAAATATAAAATTCTGTATTTTTCGAATCTTAATTCTTTAGAATGAGCTATTACATAAACTCTCTCCGCCCTACCAAACTAATCATAAACATTTTCCAAAAATGCTAAACTTATCAATTGGAACATTTTCATGGATAATGCCGACAAAGCAAGAGGATGAAGGATTCTTCTGATCAAATACTATTGTAGTATTAAACTAATGGAACTTGTGAAAACGCAGTGTATTATTTTAATAAAAAAAGAAACAAAGAAATTCATGTATAAGTTTGTCTCGTTGCATGCATAATAATTAAACACAAACTAATCTAAAAAGTAAGACATAGAAAGAGATAGATGAATAAAACCCTAGCTAGAAGAAAAATCATATATGAGTTGAATTAAATAATATATATAAATTGAAGAAAAGGAAAAGGTGAGATGTGTAAGACTTTTTGTCCTCTTAAGCATCACATCAGCCATTTTTCTTACCTATAAATCATTCTCTCCCTTCCAAGTAGTTTCCCAACAATCTTACAACAAAACCATAATCATCATCATCATCAAGGGAATTAAACCTAATTTGTGAGAGATCTTAACAACAAAAGATGGGTAGAGCTCCATGTTGTGACAAGGCTAATGTGAAGAAAGGACCTTGGTCTCCTGAAGAAGATGCTACTCTCAAATCCTACATTGAAACAAATGGAACTGGTGGAAATTGGATTGCTCTTCCTCAAAAAATTGGTAACACTCCCTCTTAACTAATAATCTCTATATCTGATATCTGATATCTGATACACGCAATTATAGAAATTAATTTATAACGAGTGTCTAAATTCTTTCTTGAGATACATAACACTGTTGTATTTTCAGGACTGAATTCAATCATAAATAAAGAATTATAACCGATTAAATTTTGTCACCGATAAATAATTACAAAAAATTTGCAGGGCTCAAGAGATGCGGAAAGAGTTGTAGACTTAGGTGGTTAAATTACTTGAGACCTAATATAAAACATGGTGGATTTACTGAAGAAGAAGACAACATTATTTGCAGCCTTTATATTAGCATTGGAAGCAGGTCCTAATTTGTTTCTCTCTCAAATTCATTCATCTCTTGAACATACTACTCTTTGTCTTATTTTCTTTGTCATTGGAATCTCTCCATGTTAGAATCATTGATTAATTTCTCCAATAGTAAGCAAACTTAAACCTTTTTGAACTGTTTCTATATATAATAGGTGGTCCATTATTGCTGCTCAGTTACCTGGAAGAACTGATAATGATATAAAAAACTATTGGAACACAAGATTGAAGAAGAAATTACTCGGGAAGCGGAAACAATCGACGAATAATAACAACAACTTGATGATGAACCAGAAGGAAACAGATGAGAATTCTTATTCAAATTCATTGAGTAGTTCAGCTCTTGAAAGACTTCAACTTCATATGCAACTTCAAACCCTTCAAAACCCTTTCTCTTTTTACAATAATAACCTTTCTGTTTGGCCAAAGTTGCATCCTTCTCAAGAAAAAATGATCCAAATTAGTCTTCAAAACTCGAATAACAACACTATGATGCAATTGCAAAGTGCTTTCCCTTCACCACCGGTTGAATGTTTGGAGAATATTAATATTCCTTTGGAGAATATTAACAATTCGGTTCCCTTCAACGCTTCTGAAAATAATGATAATAATAAGAATCATTATGGTTCGATGGATTCGAGTGTTGCACCGATGAGAGGACAAGGTATTGAGAAGAGTAGTAATGAAGGAATTCAGCAACTGGAAAATGAGCTAGATGAGATTCTCAACAACAGAAATATTATTACTACTACTATGGAAGATGAATTTGATTGTTTCAAAGATATGAATAACAATGGTTCAAAGGATCAAAGCTTGATATGGTGGTCAAATGAATCAGGTGATACTAAATCAGGATCGTCGAACTCGTGGGATTCGTCGACGAATCTTATCCAAGAAGGGATGTTCCAAGATTATGAACTAGGTTATGGTCTGTAACAATAAAATTTATCATATGGATTTTTAACTTTCTAATTTGTTGTTTTGTTTGATCATAAGAATGATGAGTTGTAACTCCAAGTCTTGTAAACAATGTGGTGAATATATATTATATAATAATGTAAATTGATGCTTACCTAATGTTTTTTATATGAAGATGTTAGTAAGTAATTTGGTTGCTTTAGTTTTTAGAGTTAGAATTTGTTATATTATAGTTTTTGGAGTTCAAATCCTAGACCTTCTGCTTAAGTTTCCTTAGATGTTTTTTAACTTTGTTCTACATTATAAAAAAAAGAGAGCAAATTGAGAGAACCAGAGTGAATTTTGTTGACAATATTTATGATTATTTAGTTATTTTGATGTGTAAGGTTTTTCATTACTTGATCAGATTTTGAAGTAACACTACCAGTCCTAAGTTTTATAACTTTTATAGCAAGTGTTCACTAGATAATTTTTTTTTTAGAGGTTTCAAATTATCTTGGTGTCTTTAAAGAATTTAATTTAATTTATTTTAATTTATTTAGGTATTATTTTAAATGGTATAATTATAAATGTCCGTCAATTAAAAGATTTTATATTAATTTTCTATTTATTATATATTTTTTATAAATATGACTCATAGTGTATTTGAAATTGACACTAATAATTATAAAAATACAATATTATTTCTCACTTCTATTTCTCTCATGTGTTTTTAATCTTCTATTATATTGCTTCTTATTAATTTCATAACACGTCATAAACATGTGATTTTATAAAATTCTCTAGTTAAAATTGACTTTGAGGTTATCGGTTAGACTTTTGGTTCACAAATTTCAAGATTTAGAAGGTAACGTTATTTCTTTTGTTTTTGTTTTATAATATTTTTTAGTAATTCTACCTATTTTGTATTGATCTATTGATTAGAAAAAAATCAATGATAATTGTTATGCATCCCAGAAGGATTGCATAAATAATATTAAAATATCCTTGAAAGATTTCACAAAGATTTTTGTGTTTCGATGTAAAAATTTGTAATATACTCATAAAATGATTGTCATTTCAGAAGAATGCACTACTACGGAAAAGACATTCAATAATGATTGAGAAAGATATTTAATCACGCGAGATTAGGCGTTGTTATGTAGCATGTGATTGTATATATGTTGCTTACAATTACAATTCAGGGACTGTTGTAAAAAACTGGAAAGACACGTCCTATAACAACAGTTGATCCAAGGAACCGTTGTGATATACATAAAGGTCCATGATTCGATTCTCAGCAACTCCGTTTTGGTATTTATATTATTCTGGACAGCACGCGAGATATTATAATGGTTGTATTATTCAACCGTTGTGAAACTTTTTGCTGAAGTAATAAATATAATGATGCTTTTATTATTTCCCCATTTTTAACCTGTATTTTATGGATCATATGACAGCAGAACAATTTCAACAGAACAAATAATTTACATTTGTGATATAATAATAATAATAATAATAATAATAATAATAATAATAATAATAATAACAATAATAATAATAATAATCATTGTATCATAATAACAATAATAATTGAATTATTAACTAAAAATTGTATATTACTTTAAAACTAAAATGTCACAATTAAAACAACCTCTAATTTAAACATTACAAAATATCACATAAATGTATCTTGGTGTTTTGGTTTCATGCCCCTAGGTGTCACTACTATGGAACATCTCTTTCACAACGGTTGGAAAAGGGGTACCATCACGCGAATCATACCGTTGTTAAGTAGGGTATGATTGTAAGTTTGTTGTTTCTATCACAGTCTGGAAACCGTTATTGAAAGGCAGAACGCGTGCCACTTATCACAACAGTTATACTTATAAATCATTGTGATACTTACACATAGGTACTTGGTTTGAAACCCATCAACAGCAAATTATGTTAATCATAAATGACATTTGATATAAAGAAGTCTATAATCTGAAAATTAAGCTATTCTTGAAAACCAACTTAAACAAACCATTGTTTTTCTAATTGCATGCGTCTCATCGTATATTTCATTCTCTTTTACATATATATTATGGTTTATTGATCTAACTCATTCGATACATCATTATCTTCAATTATAGTTAAATTTACATAACAACAAGACATTGGATAATCTGCCTCATCATCATCACTTATCATCGTAATTTTTATAATTGTAATTTTTATGATCATTAGTGTTGATGATGATGCTTATTATCTAATAAATTATAGTTAATAAAATTTAACTATAATAGAAGACAATGGTGCATCTGAGGAGCCAAGTCATTATACAATAATCTATATGTAAAAGAACATGAAATGAACGATGAGACACATGCAATTCAGAAACAATGATTGATATAAGTTGGTTTTCAAATAAAATTTAATTTTCAAATTATAGTATCTATGTCAAGTTAAATGAATGTATTTTAAGTAAAGTTTAGTGAAACAAACAATCTACATAGAATATAATAAACTCAAACAACATCATACAACATAACTACATATTATAAAATTGTGAGCAGTGAAAAAGATATATTATAAATTTTCAGGACACACCTTTTATTGAAACTAATCATGGAGCAGGAATCAATTCCGAAGTTCATCTAGTTTGTGAAGCAATGAAAAAGAAACATAAGGAGGAAGAAACTTACACATCAGCTTCATAATTCTTATGTTTCTTCTCATTGTATCTCAAACTAGATGAAGTTTTTTTCCACTGTTGTTTCTTCATTAACTAAAATGTGTTGTTCTTGTTGAGTCCTACAATAACCATGAAAGTTATCAACATGTGAAAACGTAAACTTATTTGTCAACAGAGTATGAAAAATATCTTGTTTGTGAAGTTATGAAGAAGAAGTACAAGGTGGATGAATTTTTCATCATAGCTTTATGTTTCTTGTACTTTTTTCCATAACTACACAAACAATATGTATCATAGCCAAATATGATCTTTGTTAAGCTGTTAGTGAAGACAAATCTGAAAAAATGAGAATAATTAATCAACAAAAACAACATGCAACAAATGAGATAATGGGGAACTATCTAATAATAAGATGTAAGAAGAAGAATACCTTAACATATGAAGCACAAGATTCATGTCAAATGGCGAAGAAGAAGAGAAAAAATGGGTGCTAGGGTTTCATTGTGAAGGAAACGACGCTATTGTCAATAAGTGAGAATTAATTTGCTTATATATGGGAAAATTATTTCACAACAGTTCTCTACCAACTGTATTGATAAGTATTTATTTATTATAAATATATCACAACGCTGGAACGTACCAACCGTAGTCATATCTGTAACACCCTATTTTCCCGTTGATAAAATAAGTAAAATTAGAGTAAATTAATTTCTAAAACAAAACATCAAGAATAGGATGCTACATATTCATACATCATACATACTCTTGAAAAAAGATACGCAACATAAAATCACATACTCAATAGTCTTAAACATCATTTCATTTATTCGCAGCGGAAAAACATCAATAGTAATTACTTTCAACTCTTCAACATAAGTGATAAAAATTATATTTCAAAAATGCAGCATAAACAATAGCTAAATCTCAACAACAGAGTTATACAAAAGTTTACTCCCAACATAAACAAAACAAGCACAAAAACCTCCAAGTATTACGTATCAGAGATGACATCAACCCAATCTACACAAAATAAGGCAACTCTTCGGCTAACCTCGACCTCGAGCTACTTCGAATCATCTGCATGTTACCCACGTAGAGACAACATTCAAACAGAAGGGGTGAGATATCACAATCATATAATAAATTATATAATAATAAGTATGTGACAGATATATCATATAAGATTCTAGGCTCAACAATCATCAAGTATAATTCATAATAATTATACAAGTACATACATGATTATCATCACCCGTCATACAACACATACCAATTATATAACTCAACATCATCATCGTATCAACAATTCAATAATATGCAACTCAACATCATCATCATATTAACAATTCAACAGTATGCAATTCAACATCATCACCGTCATCACCAATTATAGGACATCATCATCACCATCATGTAATACATCATGCAAAATTCTTCGTACATCGATTATACAACACTGATACACTCAATCGCAACATCTTACATTACAATACATACAACATAGGCACATAACAGAGTTATTCAACCAAAATATTTGTCTAATTCCATAAAAATTATTACCACATTGTAGGAAATTATTTTAGCTTTCCAACGGTCCAAACGGCGTGTCAAACGCACACTTGAGTCAAAAGTTATGGAGTTTTTAAGTTTTCATAAATATTGTCGAACAGTGAGAAATCGATTGCACTAACAGAGAATTCGATTGCACCCTGTTCCAGAGGCCAAAAATCATGTTTTTAAGCAGTGCAATCGATTTCTCTTCTGCTGCATTTGATTGCTTACTGATACAGAAGCAAAAATCCCACTTTTTAAGCAGTGCAATTGATTGCTCTTCTACTGCAATCAATTGCACCCTGTGAAAAACAGTTTTACGAATTCTGTAAAGTGCAATACGAAAACTCTTTTGCCTCAATTCCAAAAACACAAACTTCATGAAATAATACACAATCAAAAATCCAACTATCACACAATTTAAAGCATCAATTCATGATTATAGTCACTTTCAACAGATTAAATCAAACAATCTACACCAAACCTAACATGCAAATCATTACATCCCTACCATTATACCACTTATTAGAGAGTCAGAACTCCACCCTTACCTTGGATTGGAAGATTCTAAGCTTTCTACCAGAAAATCCTCGCCCTAGCTTGTACGCTCTTCTCTTCGTTCTTCTCTTTTTTATGGGTTCTACAATCGATTAGGAATAATGATTCTCTCTCTTAGACCCCTAATACCAATATACCAACTTTGCCCCTCCTCTTATTACTAGTTTAATCTAATTATTTAATTATTAATATTATAATTACTATTTATCTCATAAAATATCAATAGTAAATATAATAATAATAATAATAA